ACACATATATGATGGTATTTATGGTTTCAATGGCATGTAGCACATTTAAGCAATAATAATTTCAACTAGAATTCATACATTTATCATTATACATTCATTTTCTCTATTCCAGGGGCCGTAATGATTTAGCTTAAATGAGTAATATTCTTTGAATTCATATTACATACCGGACATATTTACATTTGATTTATAAATGTGACATATGCTCTGTGCAGTTTTATTATGAAAGATGAGTTAGGCCAAAATTGATTGTCAAATGCTCATGGATGTCTTCTTCTTATTTATCAAATCCCAGTTGAATTATGAATGATTTTCTCTCTTTTTACAAATGATGAAAGTAGAGAAAAGAATGCTTGTAAATTTCTTGCAAATATTTAAAAATCATATATGGTAGAGAGTATTTAGGGTGTACAATTCACCCTTGAAACAAGTTTTTTTTTTTTTAAATATTAATACTAAGAATGCATCAAACAAAATAAATAGAACAGGAAGGAAAAGAATGTAATTCCAATATTCAGCATTCCGACAAATCTTCACACACATTATCAGCTCATGTATGATCTTCCAACTTTTGATTAAACACAATTATCTTTGAGAGGTCACAATTCTTTTCCAATTTATACATTCCGAGAGTTGTCATATTTTGTTACAAATTAATTGGCCTGATTCTCCCGAGTTGGGAGCGACGGCTGTCGAAGTGACGACACCATGAATATCAAGCTAATTTGATTGTGGTTTGTTGGAGGATTATTCTGTCTCTAGGTGAATTAGCATAGAGGTTGGCTTGCCAAGCAACAAGGGGAAAATATGATATTAACAGTTAGTCACAAAGTGGGTGTGTTTCTGAAAGCTAGGTTTATGGCATAATCCTAAAAAAAATCCCCCATTTTTGTTATAATTTCGGACTGAAGTTGTGACACTATTAACCATAAATAAAGAGATCTTTGTTAATTAAGCTTCTTGTAAACTTATACCTCTTTATATAGCTTTAGAGTAGTATAGTGGATATTGTGTTTGACATTTATATGTTAATACTTTTTTTTTCTCTTGTTCTACCCATCTCTCTCTCTCTCTCTCTCTCTCTCTCTCTCTTTCTCTCCCTTGCTTTTCCCTGTCTGTCTGTCTGTATCTCTCCTCCTCCTCCTCTTTCCCCCTCTTTCCCTTTTTATTTCTCTCCGTTTATCTCTATTACTCTCTACAGGTATGGAAAATTATCATTTTCATGGTTTATCTTGTGGACTCGAACAAGGTTTGTTGTTGTTTGTTTGTTTGTATGTTTTTATTTTGTAGTCCGATGTTAAAATTGAACATAGATGTTCTTCAACCATTTATTTTACTAAAATCGTAGACCCAGATCTATCATTGCCAATTGTGTGAACCCATTGTTCACTGGATCTGACAGCGTGTCCACACACAAAACAATTTATCCCGAAACTCTATAACGAAACGTCGTATAAAGAATCATCGTAGAAATTTCAGAGTGTCCACACACAATTAGAAACGTCGTATAAATAATCATCGTATAAATTCCAGGATGTCCACACACAGAAGAAAGTAATCCTGAAACTCTACAGCAAAATGTCGTATAGGTGCGCAGTTTGCTACTGCGGTCATTAAATGGAAGCGAAAATGAGAGGTCTGGTCTCCTTTCGCTCGAGGTCACGTTAAGCCCCGCCCAGTTAGTTACACTCCCCCTGTCCACACACAACATTTTCCGTGATTAGGCGTGATTCTTTATCGAGTTTCAGTTCGAAACGATGCCCAAACCTGCGTTTCGTTAGACTAGTTTCGTTATACGACGTATCGTTAGTGAGCGTCCACACACACAATTTTCATCGTAAAACTATCGCGAAACGGTATAGCTAATCACGGAAAATGTTGTAAGTCGCCCCTGTATTCAGTCTATTTCAATAATTGAATTCAGGAGTCAACAGGTTAAAGTTATTTTCCTAGAATGTTCACACTTCCAAGATGCCCTCATCCAGGTGTCCTCCCAGAAATATATCTTACCTGTGGAACATAAAAGTCGTGTAATATTTAGTTTGAAGCAAATACACAGTTTTTGCTTTTATAATCTTTCTTTTCAATCAGTTCTTTCCCCCTTTTGTGCCTTTTCAATTTACTATCCAATTTATATAAAGCAGTACTGATTTATAGCAGTAAAACTGTAGGTGGGGGTCATAAAAAAACAGTTTTATAACTGCAAATAGTTATTTAAGAGCAAATTGTCATCTATTTTTGTGTGCAAACTAATGATTAATAGGCCCTAAAAGAGATTGAAACAACTATAGAGAGAATATATAAAATTGAATAATCTCCTGACCGCACCATTAAGATGTCATTTGATAATCCATTAAACATACTTTGATAATATACCTAGTGTTCGTGCTCATATTTTGATGCTTCAAATGTGACATATTGACACTAGGTTTCTATCTTGTATTGTGTTATAAAAAGACGTAATGTAACAAAGGATAGTTTTTATAGCGCACTTATCCATCACTACCCTTTTCATTTTTTCCTGTAAATAGCTTTGGTTATAATATCCACATCTAGCTTACTGCCCCCCCCCACCTCCCTCCCTCTCCCCCTCCCTCCCTCCCTCCCTCTCCCCCCTCTGTCTCTCCCCCTCTCCATTTCTATGCAGCTTCCTCTTTCGTTTCAAGGTGAAATTTCTCACTTGAATGAATGAATAAATATAGCGTGCAGAGTATAAGTCGCTAGAATATTATGCATCATGGAAAGAATCAGTGCAGGCTTTTCTAGTGCCGTCATTTCATGATTCTATCTATATTATGGTGTCTAGACTTTTTCTTTATTTACTGATATTTTTTCGTCAATTTTCAATGATTTATTGAATCGTCCCTTATATCCCTACAATTCCAATATATGAACAGACTGCAATTGAAATCATCTGTTATTTTGTGTTGACTATTCTTTTTTTCTTTTTTCTTGGCCCCCAAAATAGAGGTGCGTCTTATATACGGAGATTTACTGTACGTGGTACTGCCGTTTTTTTTTTTTAAGCTGCTTGATTGGGCAATTTTTTCGAAAATAATGTTTTTTGTCCAAAAATACTGTTTTTTGCTCTTAAGAATACTTTTTTTGTTGATGAAGGTTGGCATCTCTGGGTCAGGTCTTTCTGTTCCCATTCTTCATCTTAATCTGTAGCCATCTGTAATCAATGTTTGTAAATTAAAAAGAAAACAAGTTCAGAATTGTTGCTACTCTTGGAAATCCTTTTAAATCAAAGAAAGTTAATGTTTGCATCAAAGGTGAATGCGTGCATCACAAAATTGTAAAATGGTGTTTAGACCTTAAACCTTGATTGAACTTTAGAGAATAATAGATATCACATTACTATGTAAATATTTTGATTTTATATGAATCGTAAACGACTTCAGGCTCTGAGAATAAATCACTGCAAGCTATGTGTGTCATGCATGCACACATGAATCTGTCGTACTAATCAGTGATACAAATCTTCAGGATTTTTCAAATAAATTTAGAAAAGTTCATGGGGAAAAAATGAACATCAGAAAATACATAATTGAAATATCTGGAGAATCTGACAAAAAAAAATCATTCAAAGTGCTTTTGAATACTGTTGCTGTTTACTATGCTTCCTTCGCACCATTTTCTCAATATTTGAATATGAGTTAAGGGTTTTTAAAGACTAATAAAGTCATTTTTTAACACATATTCATTACTACGGCAGCATGGCTTGGGCAACTGGTTTTAGTTTTTGTGAAATCAGTTTAATTCAGTTTGTCAGGGTGCCTGGGTACATATCAATATTACACTTTGATATTTTGCATGCTAAACCTGGAGTACCATACTCTGTCCATAACTCTTTACAAAATATATATCCCTGGTAAGTTTCATTTCTTGTGTAATTTAATATTCTGTTCAAAGTTTTAAAAGCACAAGCTCATTTACAATCACAATTTGCTTATTGGAAGTCCTGGTCTATTACATATTATTATATTTTTTTAATTTGTACTTGATATTTATTTTTATGATACCAAATAAATTGAATTGAATTGAAGTACATAGTGAGGTTAATCATGATGGGATATGCACTTGCATCATACAAGCACAGAATATTATTGCTGTTATATATTATTTGCATGACATAACTTAACATATTCCCTTTAAACATGTAATCATTGAATTCCTCCAAGAGCAGCTAGACCTCACTTCAGATGAACTTTGAGTCCGTCGGGAGATGGATACCAGCAATATACTTATATTCAACACGTCATTACGGTTTTTTCCATTATTCTGCAAGGCTTGAAAGGATATCTTTCTGCATCTCTTGCCAATTTCCTCCCCGCACGCTCGCGAGCATGATCCATATTTGATTAGGCATTGTCGCAGAGCAAGAAAGCCCCTGCATTGGTAAACACGCCTGATGTCAAGAGAGAAATATTAAGTCAAATTAAAGATTCTGTGGGCACTTGATAATTATTGCAGATAACGTCTGTACTTTCACCTGAATCGGGAGTGTCTAAGAGAGTGTTCACACACTGACTCTGAAGTTACATTTGCTTAATTGGAATGTGTGTCATATAATTGATTAAAGGTTGATGAATTGTTTTTTGGGGGGATTTAGAACTGCTAGAGAAATCATGCAGAATGATTTCAAATTTCACTTGCTTCTTATTTAACTATGATTGCAAGTCAAATCGTAACACATTTGTTTAACAATGATATACATTGTTACGTTGTTTATGAATTGATTATGTTAGATAATTTTGTTCAACAGTATATAAGCAGAAGAGATGAGGTATAGACCTACATGTAATGGAGAGGTGAGAGTGAATGGCAGAAAGAGAGAGAGAGAGAGAAATTAAGCAATTGATGCAAATATAGGAAAAAATAAATGGATCTATATACAATGAAAAAAGAAGAGAGAGAGAGAGATTAAGTAATGCAAATATAGGAATAAGTAAATATATATATATATATATATATATGATGAAAAAGAGAGAGAGAGAGAGAGAGAGAGAGAGAATGATGGTGATGGTAATATAGAAGAAAAGAGGGAGGAGAAATGTGAAGTAAAAGGTATTATGATTTGTAGATAAGAATCAGAAAAGGGGTATGTAGAATTAGGAGAAAATGTGGAGAAAACTTATGAGAAACAGAAAAAGAGAGAGTACCTGTAATTTATAGACAGAAGGGAAAAAAAGGAAAAAAGATGAAATCAAAGCAGTGATTTTTAAAGAAATAGTGGAAAATAAGGTAACTGAAAGTGTTTCAGCTCTGAAAACTCATTAAGTATCTTCAATAAGAAAAATACAAAGATATGTGTCTAAGAAATGGATGTGAATAAATCTCTTTAATACGTTAAATTATCAAATCAAAATTACAAATTACAAATTACAAAAAGAAGTATCTTATACTGGAGGGGATTGGAAGAAGAAAAGGGAAGGAGAAATGAATGTAGATTTAGACAAGCCAATCATAGGCAAATACTGAGTCAAATTAAGGTGAATATGTGTTTGCTTTGGGGTATATCTTTAACACTTGCATGATTATATCACTTAATCCCACTTGAAAATGTGAACAGAGAGTGGGTTGAAGTCATAGTGCAGGAAATTTGACGGCTTTGAAGAAAGTAGGAGGGCAGTATGAAAGACCTCTAACAAAAAAAGATGTTGACAATAGATGCACAAGTTGCCGTGACTCCCTGATTACCATGGTAACCAGTGGCTTTGTGAATTTGCAGTGTTTGCATAATCACTGTGCGTTTGTGCAGAAGTATAGGTTCACTTATTCATGCCGTTGGAGAAACGAGCATGCTTCGTCTTCATATCGATGTGATCTTCCTTATAGTTGTATCACCTGTAAAAGCTCAAGATACAATCTCAAATTTCTCACACAAATACAAGTATTGTGCTTGTATTTGTGGAAACATTCTAATTGAATCTGAAATACATGCCATCATTTAAAGGTTGATTTTATGTATTTGAAGTAAAATCCTGAGCATTTTTAAGCAGATCAACCTGTGCTTTTCTTAGCTGTTTCTATACCAGAACAATTATGGCTTCTTTTTATGCTAATGACACTAATTCATTCAAAGTGTTGTCATCGGGTGGTAATTCAACAATAACAGATAGAGTTCAGATAGAAAGGTTGGTCAAAGCTGTATCTTACGCAACCGTTGGTCTAATTGCCATCATAGGCAATTTCCTTGTCATATTCATGGTTGTACTCTCTCGAAAACTGCACACCATCACGAACATCTTTGTCGTCAACCTCAGCCTAGCTGACCTTGTGATAGGTGTAGCATTTCCGCTGGAGAGCTTGTGGCTCCTGCACCTCGATGTGGCCCTGCCTAAGTGGACCTGTACCTCGGTCGGATCCATCATCATCATCGCAGTCGGATGCAGCGTGTCGACACTGTTCTTTGTCGCAATGAATCGGTACGTTCTCATTACGAGATCCCGCGCTGCCTACCAGAGGATCTTCACCCCGTGTAACATCTTCCTGATGATTGCGTCGACTTGGCTCAACCTGACAGGATTTCTGATCATCCCGCAAGTGGTCGGGTACGGCAGCCTGGGGTATGACTTGAACCTTGAGCTTTGCATCTGGGATCCAACTCATCAATATGACCTGTATTATAAAGGAGGAGCTCTAGCGCTGTTAACACTACCTCTCTTGCTGTCAAGTATATGTTACATCCTGATATTCAAATACATACGCAACCACTTCAAGAACATGGCATCTCATCGGCAAAGTGCACCAATTGCGACAAACAGGCGCATGGACATCATCATCACCAAGAACCTTCTGCTTGTCATCTGTGCCTTCTATATCTGTATCCTGCCTTTTGTGATTGCCTTCTGCTCCACGGGCTTCAGTTCTTCTCCGGACACCTATGGCTACGTGGCGTCCTACCTGGGTATTCTCCTGGGTATCAACAGCTGTCTGAATCCTCTCTTCTACTGTCTCAAGCACCCGCACTTCAGAGAGGTCTTCTCCTGCGTCATACGCTGTGACCTGTCAAGGGTACCGCTACCATCAAGAATCCTGCAGAGGGTCCTACCTCAACCTGATAGGCGGAGTGTCCTGGCAGACCTGTCTTCGCTCAATACCAACACCAATAATTGAGGTCTCTGGAAGACTCACCTGGGGGGTGTTTCACAAAACTTGTCATGCAGTGATAAATGACAGTTTTTGTTACAAGCTACTGAAATCCATGCTTCTAATTGGTTATCAGCAGATTCGTCACTGATTTTTGTCATTTGTCATTGAAAAAAAGCTTTGTGAAACAGGTCCCTGGTGACACCGTCACATTTTCCACTTTGACTGCCATCCTCATCTGTGTTAGTGCGTAGAACCAATACCACTTGGATTGAAACCGAGTTTACACTGATATTTTAGCTTAATTTTTTTATACATGGGTAGTGTAATGTTTCCATAGATTGTTATAGCCATTGAAGTTTCAGGTTGGGAAACTCAAGCATTCCCCAGAATATTTGTAAAAGATTAACTCAGATTAGGATGCATAATTTTTTTTTGCTTGCACATGCATACAACTTCTGTAATTTAATGATTTTTCAGCCAATGAAGCTAAATTGCATTTACTTTATGATAAAGGTATTGAATGTACATCAGATGAAGATTCAAGTATGTTAAATCCAATGGATTAGAAATTGTGTTTTTAAAGGTTTGTTGCTTGCATTAGATGAGTAGGCTGCTGGCAGTGTACCATCCTATTCACTTTCAAACACAACATTGTATGCCACATGAACAAAATAAAATGCTGCGGGGAAACAGAAAAAAAATTGACTTTAAAAGAGCTCAAAGTTCTCCAAGTGAAAAAATAATAATTTGCACAACAAAAAAAAAACATAAATATAAAAAAAAAATTGCTAGGGACTTTTCTAAACTTTGAGGAAAGCATTAAAATTTCGCACAGATACAAATTGATTTTTCTTAGCTTTTTTTTGTTTTTGTTTTGTTATTGACAACTTTTATTGAAATTTGAATCGTAGGCCAAACTATATTGATATTAATAGATTAAATGATAATTAGAAGTACAAAAAATATTACAATTAGCGGTACTAGTATTTGACATGGTCATGAAGAAATAAATGAAATTTGTTATTGATTTTTCTTAGAATAATTATAAGTAAAAGCATTCCACAAAGTTTAAAGAGAATTGATAATGTGAAAATTTGGGGAATAAAATCAGTGTTCATACGTTTGTTATTTTCTTTTAAATCCCCACTGCACTACTTATAGCTACTTGCGCCCTCTATATAGCAAACAATGCCTAATCGGTGTCCATTGGTCCCCATGATCCCCTTTTTTCTATGTTAATGACCATGTGGGGAAGTCTAATCCCTCCTGGCCAAACTAGTGTAGTAGTGCTTTAAAATGTATTTAAAGGCAATTTCCTCTTTCTTAAAAAGGCAATTTTGATGGAAGCACAAAAGTCAGAGAAACAGACGAGCAAACTTTTCAGAAAATTGGAAAGAGTAAGAGAGTTTTTAAACTTTAAATTTCAAACATTTTAATTGCTATTGGATATAGGGAAGTTTGTTTTGGCAATTGGTCTTGATGTATCTAATGTCATACACGCAGAAATTCCATTTGTTGTGTGTCTAGTTTATTATTACAATTCTTCTTCTTCTAAAGTGTTATAATGGAACAGACAGTATTGCAGGAGATTGTGTTAAATTATGTTGCCCATAATGTATCGTAGACGAAATGCCTCTTTATGTGTGTCTTGCCTTTAAATTACTATACCACAGTAAACAATTACTATACCACAGTAAACATCCCATTTGACTCCAACATAAAAAATAAAAAAAGCTTATGTGAACAAGCTTGAACTGTTTTCTGTCTGTAATGACAATGGCTAAAGAATAAAGATGCCCTGAGACAGTCAGCAACTCCTTTAGTAGCGATTAGTAGGCAAGGCAACAAAGCTGTCTGCGAATTGAAATCTCTAGTTTTCCATTAAATGTATTATTCAAAAGAGCAAATTTTGTTTCATTCTGAGCAAGTTCTATTTAGATCTGATATTACCATCAAGGAGATCGATTGTGTTTGGATGTCAAAGAGTTTATTCAGATGACCTCATTTTCAATGACATTTCCATAGAGATGAAACATGCTACTACTTGAGTTAATATGATAATCAGTGTTATTGTAGAAGCGATATGTAGGCAAAGTCTTCATCTACTTTCCTGATTGCTTTTGGAATATATCCAATATTTACATCTTACCTGTTCCACTGTTCATTTCTTTCAGCTATGAGATGTAATCCATCTACAGAATAGATTTACTGTCATCCTGTTCCAAACTATAGGCCAAGCAAATAGGAGGATTTCAAAAGATTTTGTTGTGCTTTAAAGGTTGAGTTTAAAACAACATAAACTTTAACTTTGCCTTTGTCATTTCTCTTTTTCTCTACCTCCTTCAAAATCACCTTGACTAATTCTTATCATACATGTATTTTCTCATTCTGTAATTAACTCACAGACCCCCCCCCCCCCCCCTTTTTTTTCCTCCCTTCTCTCTCTCTCTCTCTCTCTCTCTCTCTCTGTCTGTCTCTGTCTGTCTGTCTCTCTCTCTCTCTCTCTCTCTCTCAACTTGATCTATCACTTCCTTCATCATATATCTTTTCTTTCTGTGATGTTTTCATCCATCTTTTTGCTACCTCCTTTAACATCACCTTGTCTAATTCTAATCATATATATATATATATATATATATATATATATATATATATATATATATTAATTAACTTACAGACTCTCTCTCTCTATCCCTATCTCACTTGCGTTATCCGTTTCCTGTGAATCACCCCCCCCCCCTCTCTCTCTCTCTCTCTCTCTCTCTCTCTCTCTCTTCCTCCCTCCCTCCCTCCCTCCTTTTTTCTCTCTTCTATTCCTGTGATGCTTTCATCTCTCTTTCTCTCTTAATTTCTCTACCTTCTTCACCATCACCTTGTCTCATTCTTGCTGTATGATGTATGATGTACAATGTATGAGTACCTCTCACATCCTATGATTAGGTTTGTATTTGTGTAAAGCATGCAGTAGTACATAAGTCTGTATAAGGCTCTTAATTTCTGTTTACATGTGCACTATAATTGCAATTATACAGACAGAAAATAATACATTCCTTAAATTAACCTGTGAAAGCAGAAAGTGAGGTACAATTATTTAATAATTTAAGTAAACCGAAGCATTCTGAAAGTCAGATATAACTTATAAGAGAGACTCTGCTGTATTGTAACATATTAATTTATCTTAATTCGTAGTTACTGTGTGAAATGTTACAGGTTTTAGAGCTTGTAAACATTTTGACCGGAATCCACAAAGGAGGTTTAAATCTAAAACCCATGAGTTAAACCCAGATTAGACCATTAGTTAACCTTTGTGTTATCATTTTGCGATTCAAAAAGGAGGTTTAGATTTAATCCACGGTTTTACAGCATTATATGAAGTTATATTTTTAGCCTGCTCAGGGGAATGGTTTTAACCTTTAAACCTTCTTTGTGAATTTGGGCCATTATTTGCAAATGAATCATAGATGCCTGCATCATTTTTTTTTCAGAAACATTTAAAAATTATGATGGCATTGCTGTTTTAAGATGTTTCACTGCATATCATATTCCTATAATTTTCATACATAGTAAGGCAATAAAAAAACACAAGAGATTAAGCGGAATAAAACCTCACTTTTATCCCTTTCCCTACCACTTATTTAAAAATTTCTCATTTAAACCTCAAAGTGGTTTTCATTTTTCACACTGGCTTACAGGCCATAGAAGAATCTTTAATTCATTTGCTTTTTTCCTGTGTCTGATGAGGTGAACAATTGTAATTAGCTATAGAGAGTAAACAAAACTCTAAACTAAGCAATTCACCTCTTTGTGTTATTTTCCGTTTGCAATAATTACAGCAGATTGTGGCCAAAAAAAACCACCACTTTTATTTGCCTAATTTCTTCCTTTGTAAAATGCTTATATGTAGCACAATCGCAACTATTTTTAAAAAAAAACCTGAGGAAATTTCAATAGCCTTGTACGTCATCTATTGCAATGTGGTATTGAAATTGCACCTGAGTTAATATTTTGAAAGTAGTTGCTATAATTGTGTTATGGGCATACATATCATATTGTTAGAGCATTATGATAGTTGTAGTGTAGAAATATCAATTGGTCATCCGGCATGAGTAATTTAAAGGCCAAGTCCACTATATTATTCTGTAGTTTTACATACTTTTTCAAAAATGTATAACTTTCTTATTAGTCATCCGATTTTGCTCAAACTAAGCAATTCACCTCTTTGTGTTATTTTCCGTTTGCAATAATTACAGCAGATTGTGGCCAAAAAAAAACACCACTTTTATTTGCCTAATTTCTTCCTTTGTAAAATGCTTATATGTAGCACAATCGCAACTATTTTTAAAAAAAAACCTGAGGAAATTTCAATAGCCTTGTACGTCATCTATTGCAATGTGGTATTGAAATTGCACCTGAGTTAATATTTTGAAAGTAGTTGCTATAATTGTGTTATGGGCATACATATCATATTGTTAGAGCATTATGATAGTTGTAGTGTAGAAATATCAATTGGTCATCCGGCATGAGTAATTTAAAGGCCAAGTCCACTATATTATTCTGTAGTTTTACATACTTTTTCAAAAATGTATAACTTTCTTATTAGTCATCCGATTTTGCTCAAACCTTTTTTGATTGGTTTGTCTGATTGTTCTGCTTCTAATGAAAGTAAGTTATTTTTGGAGTGGACTTGTACTTTAATGACAACGAAAGGGAAATTTAGAAGTAGCTAATTGTGGTTTTAGTCTTGTACAATCAGATTAATTTTCCAAATGGACTAAGTGGCAGCAAGATGTAATTCTTGATATTTAAATTACAAAGTTGTGATTATATAACATTTAAAATGTACATGATAGTATGTATGATGCAAACACAAATTTAAATGCTGGAAAACTTGACTTTTCAAGACGATGGCAAAGCGCTACAAATTGTCTGCATGAAATATTTAGTGAAAATATTATATCTTCATGAGTATTTACTATGTAGAACCAATGATGCTTGTGATTGTATCAAATACAATTGATAAAATACATCAAATATAGCACAATTATGTACTGTTTTATTATTCTGGCCTTCTGTAGTAAGATTTCTATTAAATGAACTGCTCATTCATCCAGTTACAAAACACCTTCTCCAGTGACAATTGCTATGTAGTCAATTTTCTACACCTTATGGATGGCTAACTTCAATCCTGAACCCATCACTATATATATTGCAATGAACGCTGTATATAAAGACCACTCAGAGGAGACAAGAAAAGTGGTCTTTACAAACAGGTGGTCTTTATGCACAGGCTCCTTTAGTATAGTAGTCAATTAGAAATATTTTTCAAGGGAACTGTTATAGACAGGTTGTAGCTGAAGCTTGTTTGACTGTAGTAAAACTAACCTAAAACCCCATCATAACCCTAACCCTAACTCTATATCTTTGATGAAGTAGAGCTAGGATCTCATGTACATGTAGGAGCACTCTCTTAATTTAGCCTCATCTTTACGAGATGTACTAAACACTACCTGAACGATGATGAGCGATCAGACCTAATAGATCTCATTATGACAGTGATAGAAGCAGGGTGTTGGGAACCCGGCTTTTCCTCTCTCTCTCTCTCTCTCTCTCTCTCTGTCTATTTCTCTCTTTCTTTCTCTCTCTTTCGAATTATCCTCTCTCTCTCTCTCTCTATCCATCTCTCTCTCTCTCTCTCTCTCTCTCTCTCTCTCTCTCTCTCTCTTGCACACCTTCACTCTTATCACGGAGCGAGCTACTGGAATCCAAAGACATTTCAACACTTGGAATTGTTCAACTGGGCAATGATTTCCTGTTTTCTTTACTCGATTTGCAGCTTCCGTCTGTGACT